AGCCTGGGTTTGCTGTCCCAGCTGTGCTCACTCTTTTAAGGTGATGCTGTCCCCAGAATCCGCAAACTGGGAAGATGTTTTTCCCAATACTCTCCTTGATGACGTTTTTGGAGGTTGCTGGATGGGATAGAGGTGTGCCTGTGTCCTAATCCTGTTTGTTTGGTTTTTTTTTTTAGCCATCCGAGAGCCATCAATGCTGGGGTCCAGAGTTGGACACGAGCACAGTGCTTGGCCATGCTCCCTTGCTGCCCTCTGCAGGCAACTGTCCCTTGTCCACTGCTCTGCTGAGCAGTGCAGCCCTCCTGCATCCTTCCAGAAGCAACTTTGGTCTCCTTGCCACCTTATTCCCCCTGCCTTCATACCCTAAAATATCTAGGCTCCATTGCAGACACTGCAGAAGCATCATTGCCAGCTGTGCCAAAGGGCAGCCAGGTTGGCAGCCACACTGGGCAGCAGGGTGATGGCGTTGGCAATGGCTTTGGCTGGCAGAGCAGTGTTGGATGCAGTGCTGTGAGTCACCTGGCCAGCACTGCAGCCACTTGGCAGCCTCTCCTGCAGCAGCCTACGTGCAGAGGCAGTGCAGAAAGTTGCTCCAGGAGGTTGCTTTGGCACGCACAGGCTGCGCTTCTGCACCAAAACCAGCCCTGAAGCTTTCCAATTCTTCCCCTCTGCTCATTTCTCTATTGGGTAAATCAAGGTTGCAGGCTGCTTGCAGGTCCTCACACTTTGCATCATGTTCTCTTCTGGCCCCGGAGTCACAGCTGGAAACGGGGCTGATACGGAGTAGCTGGCCCTCAATCAGACCCCAACCCGTGCTGGGGTTAGGATGTCTGGAAGTCTGTCTGTGACCCAAAGTGGCAGCACTGTGGGGTTGTGCAAGGATGCCTGGATGGGTTGTGCATGGATATATGTTTACCAGTGCTGGCTTGGGGAGATGTGATCTGATGGGATCCAAAGGAGACTCAGACAGAACTCCCCAGGCAGATTGAGCTGTGCATGCACGGAGGGAGCCCAAACAAAAAAAAAAGAGGCAGAAAGAAGGAAGAACTTGAAACCACCCCAGTTTTGCAACACTTCATTTTTCAGTTTCTGGGCAGGATTTGTATTTGGCATCTAATTAATCTCAAAACACACAGAAATCGTGCAGTTTGGTGGTTCTGCAGTGCTTTTTACCTGGGAATTTTGAAACACCTTTTTAGGAAAGTGGGGCTTTGTAGTTATCCCAAGTGCCCAGATGGAAAAATGAAGCTGGGGTGTATGATTTTGCCAAGGCTGCCCGGACAGTCAGTGGCAGAGGTGAGAATGAGGTGGTAAAGGCACTTTTCTGTGAACAGAAAATACAAATTAAGGGAAAGAGGGAGTCAGGATCACTGCAGAGCCTTCTAGGAACAAGCCCAGCTCTAATGCTGTTTGCTGGAGCAGGTACTCAACCTGACACTCCATAACTGTTGCAAAACATCAGCTGAGTAACATGATAGTGGGTTAATTTGTGGTTACACACGGAGCTCAGGAGCCCTGATTGATGGCACCTTGCTCTGACTGCCAGACTCCACTGCTCTGTGTAATGAGAACATAATCTTGCTCAGTTCCTGGATGCTGAACACCGCTTTGGTCTCCTGCAGGGTGAGGATTTTGCATCCTGCTTTGTAGGCTCAGGGGCTCCACTTTCCAGGATCAGTGTTACTGAGGTTGCACAGGATGAATTCATCTAAGGATAAAGCTCTTTGTGTCTGAGCATCAAAGCTCTGCTCAGTGTGACATGGAGCTTTCCATGTAGCAACATGCAGGACTGGAGTTTCAGCTTCATGAAGGAGCAGCTGGATTGGAAGGAGCAGAGTCAGGATGGTGATCACTCACAGACTAAGAACAGCAGGGAACAGTTGGGTTTTGGACCATGCCTTAACAATTGGAGTTCATGGGATGAAGGATGCGTGGTTGTCACAGAATCACAGAATGGCCCGGATTGGAAGGGACCTCAAGGATCATGAATCTCCAGTCCCCCATTGTATTTGAGCTTTGAACAGCAAGCTGGTGGTGGAAAAAATCTGCTCCTCCACACCACTCAGGTATGCCAATGCCATGTCTCATGGTTCTGCAATGCTCAGGTTAGAGCTGTGATTGGCCCCTTCGAGTAAAGGATGTCAGAGCCCTGCTTTAACTCATGCAGATCTTGTGAAGCTGAGCACCTGAGAACCACAGTGAGATGCCACAGGTGGGAAGCAAAGAAGGAGTCCCCAGGTTTAAAAAATTCTGTCTATAAGAGAAGGTGAAGCTTACAGCAAGGAGGGGTGGGACATGGAGAATCACATGGCAGCTGAAACACTGGATTGTAGAATTGTTATAGAATGGTTTGAGTTGGAAGGGATCTCTAAATGCCATCTGGTCCCACTGTAATGAACAGGGACATCCACAGCTCCATTGGGTGCTCAGAGCCCTGTCCTGCCTGATTTTGAGTGTCCCTAAGGATGAGCCGTCATAGGATGGCTTGGGTTGGGAGAGACCTCAAAGATCATCCAGTTCCAACTCCACTGATGCAGGCAGGATTGCCAGTCACTAAGTGTAGCACTGGACCAGTCTGCCCAAGAGCCTTGGACACCTTCAGGAAGGGGGCACCCCACACCTGGGGGTGCCATCCTGGGGTCCCGTTGGCTTCCTGGGATCTGCAGTAGGTATGGCATGGAAGGCAGACCTGGCATGAGGTGGAGGGGAGGTGAGAACCCTGTGACTCGCCTGGTACCTTCGCCCAGGTAAGAAGAGGTCATTTGAGCTCTCACGGCAGTCAAGGGAACGCCGATTGGAACCAGATGTCAGGAAGTGCGAGGCACCACGAACGTGTGGCAGGGCCTCCCAGCCATGGCGGCGGAGCCCCCTAACACTGGGGTCATTCACGAAGCAATTAGTTGGCATCCCGTGGTTTTGGCCTGTTAAAAAAAAAACAAAACGGGAATCGACCTTCAAGAGCTAAGTGGGCCCTGCGAGGAGCTTTCCCAGAGCAATGGGAAGTGCTGGCACGGGGAATTAGCGAGCTCTGGGTGGTAGGGGACGGGAGGTGGGATGAATGGGGCTACGTTGGCTGTGGACAGACTCCTGTTGAGTTCAGAGGGCTTTGCCTCAGGCTGAGTGCCACGGTTTGAGAAAAATGAGGGAAAAACTGGGGCCAGGACTTCTACCTCTCATTCAGCTTTCCTGCCATTACGCTCATTAGGGCTCATATAAGTCATGTCTTCTGTGCTTTCTCTTAGGGAGCTGCTGTCTGCTGAATGGTTGATGTGATTATCTTAAGGTCATGATGAGTCCATTGCTGCTTCAAGCCTCTAAAACAGTTGGGGAGACTTCAGTAGGGGTGTACTGCAAATCTTCTGAAAGTTACGGCCGAAGCAGAAATTCCTGGTTGAAAGTCTCTTACCTGGCTTTTGTAGGAGACCAAGCTGATTGAACATATGGAGTTCTTTGTGGTCTTATGAACATGACATCAAACCCTATATTTTCTTTTTTTTGCTATCTCATACTCTTCATAGTTACATTATCTTCTTTATGTGGCATAGAGCAATGAAGGTACGTTGCCCATAGACTCTCCTATTAATGTTAATGCAAAAACCCTAGAGAAAATCAAAGGGGAGAGAAACATGTCTGAGTCTGTAAATGCTCTCCTCTCCTCTCCTCTCCTCTCCTCTCCTCTCCTCTCCTCTCCTCTCCTCTCCTCTCCTCTCCTCTCCTCTCCTCTCCTCTCCTCTCCTCTCCTCTCCTCTCCTCTCCTCTCCTCTCCTCTCCTCTCCTCTCCTCTCCTCTCCTCTCCTCTCCTCTCCTCTCCTCTCCTCTCCTCTCCTCTCCTCTCCTCTCCTCTCCTCTCCTCTCCTCTCCTCTCCTCTCCTCTCCTCTCCTCTCCTCTCCTCTCCTCTCCTCTCCTCTCCTCTCCTCTCCTCTCCTCTCCTCTCCTCTCCTCTCCTCTCCTCTCCTCTCCTCTCCTCTCCTCTCCTCTCCTCTCCTCTCCTCTCCTCTCCTCTCCTCTCCTCATTGTTTCTCATTTTCTCTACTATTTCTGTTCTATTTCTCTAGAAAACTCAAATGTCAAATGTCTTCCAGGCGCCCAGTTTTGCAAGCTCTAAAGGGTCAAATAGTTTTTCCATCTGCACACTATTCCTCCTGACCTAATCTGAGTTTTTTACACCTTGATTTACTGCAGGAAGGGAAAGGCTCAGGTGCAAAGCCATAACTTTTTGGTCATGGAGGAACATTTGTGCAGGTGAATGTTTGGAGTGCTACCAGCTCCAGTGACTGCATGCTTGACATCAGGCAGGTGCTGCTGTAGGTGCGAGAAAGTTGCCCCAGCCATTGCTCTGCTGAGGTAGGAGAGAGGCTGTGTAAGTCTCTGTATCAGAGTCTGCAAGGTCAATAGCTGTTGCTCTGGTGAACTCAATAAGCTACAAGATACACCAAGGGAGCAGTCTTCAATTGAATTGGTTGCTCTCCCAGCCTCCCTCCTTCCCCCAGTGTGGGAGGTTGCAAACTTTTTATCATTTCTTTGTATGCTCAGGGCTGGAAGTCCTGAGCAATGACGCAGGGCCCTGGGTTTCCTCTGCTTTGCTGTCTGTGCAGCCAGGTCAGCACACTGCAAACAGGAGCAAAATACGTAGGGTACTCCAGCCTACTTCTCTTGGATGCGAGTAGCAACATGGAGCTCATGGGATGCTGTAGCACCATTGCTAGTGCCAACGGCAGAGTGAAAGATTCATTTTGGCTAAAAAAAAGCAACAACAAAAGGTAGATCTGCTCTGCTTTTCCAGAATGCTGCATGAAGTTATGTGGGTAGGAGTCAGAAAGGAGGACTTGGGGGATATCTGGAACAGGGGGGAATGTCTTGCTCCCTCTGCTTCTCCCCAAGTGAGAAAGTCTGGGGTGCAATGGCTTTATAGTCGCTCGCATAACGGGATCGGAATGACTTATGAACTGTTCCTATCTGAACAAAAATAACACATTCTCATTTCTCCCTCCCCTTCCAGGCTTCATGACTTTAAAAGGATTTGTGACAAGCCATGAGCCTTGAGAAAATAAACCATGATGAATTCCCATCCGTAGAGACAGCTCTGAAGGTATGTGTCCCCTCCTCCCTGCTCCCTGGAAAACCACAGTCTTGGCCAGAAGTGGAAGAGGAGCCATTCATTCAGGAACAATTTCCCAAATCACGCTGCAAAAAATGGACTTGCTCACTCTTAAATGAGCTCCATGGGGATTTTGCGTCCCCTTTATGTGCCAGGTTAGCTCTGGGGAGTGTGCAGGCTGGCCGACGTGCTCAGCAATGGGAGCACAGCATAGTGGGGCAGGCACGTAGCTGGGGAGTGGCTGAGAAGAGGATGGCCTCATCCATGGGCTAATTGCCCTCTGGAAATACCAACACCTCCCAGCTCTGTTCCACTGCCATTAGCTTAGAGAGGGACATTAAAGCAAAAGACATGGCCTTACCTTTCTCTAAACACAGAATTGTAAGGGATGGAAGGGACCTGCAGAGATCATCTAGTCCACCTCCCCCAGACAGCTAGTGGGTTTTGGATGCCATGCTCAGAAGGACATTGGAGGAAGGCGAGGATGGCTCTTGAATTTTGGTCAGGACGTGTTGCTGCCTGTCTCACCAAGGGTGATCAGGATAAATCTAGCTCTCTGAGAGATCACAAGCACCCTACCAATGCAAGCGAGAAAGTTGGCTTCTGTCCCATGTAGCTTTGAGTTATCTGGGAGCAAAGCAGACATCCATCCATAGCCCTACCTCAGGGTCTTGACCCTGAGCTAGGTACAGGGGGGAAGCCATCTCTGATTGATTCCCTGACATTTGTGATTTTCCTGCTCTCCATTAATGCACTTGTTGAGCCACAGGGAGGTCAGCACAGGGTCCGGATAGTCTGCATGCCACATAAAGCTCTGTGGGATGCCTGCAAATTTCTGTGGTTTGAGCTGTTGAGAAGAAGGACAGCATTTTGCATGCAGAAATTAGGAAGGCTGTTTTCTCTTTGTGTGTCAGAAATCATCTGCTTGGTTTTGTTGCAACCATTGGTAGAGGTGGGCCAAAAAATGTTCGTGTTGACAGCATGGTGCTTAGTACTTTTCTCATGATGGCTTGTAGTTGCTAAAATCACACTGATTTTCTTTCATTTCCCCTTGGAGTTTTATTTGGACACCAATGAACTACTGAAAGGAGGGCAGGCAGGGAGTGGGAAGGACCATGCAAGTGTGAAGTGCACTGGGAAATTCTCTCGTGGTGGATGGGGAACGATGACACATCAAAGGGGATGGGGAGAAGCAAGCCCATGAATACCAAACACATGGCAAGAAGAACCACCTACTGTTTAATGAGAGAATTAGGACACGTGAATGCCTTTTCTCAGGCTACTTCAATCTGTTTCTAATACTGGCTTAGGGAAGAGTGGATGAGAAGCAGGAGGCCAATATATATATATATATTAATGTTTCTCTTCTTTAGCAAGTTTGTGTGTATTTATATTTACCCTAATTGCTCACAAAAGCATGTTTGGCACTGTTATTTCTGGTGTTCCTTGGCAGTGAGGGGCTTTTTACCACCAGCCTATCAATACCACATGGTGGGTGGGAGAACCTCCTGCTCTCCCTCCCCTTTTTGCTCCATTCTGAAAAGCACTGCGTTGTCTCAGCTTGGCAAAGGAAGAGATACAAAAGGGGGAAGCAAAGCTATTCGTTTAGCTCCAGACCCCTCCATGTTCCTCCCTTGATCATGGAACCATTAAGGTTGCAGAAGACCATGTAGATCATTTAGTCCAAACATCACATGAGATGCAGGTCCCTTTTTTCAACGGGAGTGTGTATGTGCACATGTGTTAGCTGTAGAGCTTTCCCATGGCAGAGCTTCCACAGTGCTCTATTTATTTTGCTGATTTCTTGCTCAGCTCAACCACAGTACTCTGGTTTGGACTTGGAGGTGGATTATGTGGTCTCCGTTACTGGAGATCACCACTTAAAGCCTGCCCTTGCCAAGGCCAACCATTGCCTCTCATTGTCTGGCAGCTTTGCCCAAATTCAGATGAACTTGGATCTTTCTGGGTCAAGGATCTTCCTGGCTAATGGAGATGATGCAGAAGTGCCTGTAGGATAAAGGATGAAAAAGAAAATAGTTCCTTATTCCTCCTGTGGAGAAAAAAGTCTATCCTTTAGTGGGGAGTTTTGTCTAGAGGTTGTCTGACTTCAAATCCTTATACAGCTTGGGAAGTCACCATAAGCAAAGGGAAATTGTATTAGCGGTGGCTGATGCTCTCTTGGAGGGCATTGTAGAAGAGAGAACCATTTCATGAAGTACTGAGTAGATACATGAAATCTTTTTGTGTATGAGGGAGGAGTATTTCTGACTGATGGCTGGTAGGGCATTCAAGTGATTGTCAAAGATACCACAAAGATGCCACAAGATAGGTGTGGGTTCACAGATCCCTTTATAAACTGGCCCTTCCACAGAGCAATCTATCTCATCCAAAGGAGAACTGGCTTTTGGAAATGGCCTCAACTCTTCACTGGTTTTTAAGGAAGCCAAGTGTCCAGGCTGTGCTGCCTTTTAGGCTCCTAAATGCCAGAGAGATGTATGCCACTCTTAACACCTTAATCTTTTAAAATTACATTGAATTTTCATGGTTTTCCATCTCAGTGTCTTTCTCTCGCTCTTGGATAATTCTGTGGCTCTTGCCTTAACTCTCTCCAGCTTTCTGACATCTTTTCTATAATGTGTGTTGCAGATTGAACATGATATTTCACATCTGTGGTTAGTACAGACTTTTTCCTTGCTCCTGTTCACCAGCACTTTGGGGGAAACTTTCTAGCTCATGGAATTCCCTCTCAAAAAACAAAATGAAAAAAAAAACCAACACTGTCCTTTAGGTCACAGCCCTCTGCTCTGTGGGTATGGCGGGCATCTCTTGTACTCTGCATGTAACGTGGCATTTTGCTACCTACAATGTATGTTTGAGCTGAAGCATGTGATCACACAGTCCTGAAGGACCTGAGTGCCCTGCCCTCATTGTTACTTATTGCTATGACAACTTCTGTGACCTAAACAGCATACGTCAGCTGAAAGTAATATATTTACTTTCGGAAAACTGACGACAATGCTGACTACCTCTGAGCAGGGCAACAGATCCTGACAACCACTGGTGATACTTTCTCACTGAGAAAATACCTTCCAGCTTCTACAAGCTAGCCAGCTCCTGATCTGTTGGATGTATGCTTCGTTTTTGTAGTGTAGCAGAAGCTTTTCAAACAGAAGGTTGTGCAATGTTCAGTCATGCACCACATGAAAGTTTGTATTATGCCTGTAAGAGACTCTTTGATGAACTGAACTCAGTTTTGTCAGAAAATGAAATCAGGCCTATTTCCCATGAAAAACATTGACTGACATTTGTTGCAAATGTAATTACTTTGCAAGGTGGAGTGGTGTCACCTCACCTAAATTTAACCGAATAATAGTTTGCTGTCTGATCCAAACCAGCTGCCAAGCTCGGTTCTGCAGTCAACGGAGAGAGATCAGCCCTCCAGCAGTTGAATCATCTAATCTACCATAGACATCTGTCTTACAGTAGGATGATTGCTGTTTGGATGTGCCTACATGTCTCCATTGACTGAAGGAGAGAGGATTAATGTTGAGCTAGCCTCTGTACGGCTACTCGAGTGAAATCACTTCTGTTAAAATATTGGCACGGCTTTACCATTCCTTTCTCCAAATGTTGGGAAATGCATTATTCCCCTTCAGGACTCTCATGACTCACAGTCTGGGGAGTTTCAGGTAAGTCACAATTCGTAAGTCCAAGATCCCCTCCCTGCCCCTTCTTTTTATCCGGAGAGATCGGTTAGGTTTTGGTTGAGCTGTTAATGGGGCAGCATTTGCTAGACTACGCCCTGTTGCCAGCTAGCCACAGGCTTTGATCATTGAGCTCTGTGCATCACCCAAGCTGGAAAGGAAAGTCTTGTGTTTGCCTCAGCAAATGCCTTGGGATTAAGTGGTGAATTCAAGAGAAATGTGCAGAGGGAGAGGATGGAAGCGCAACGGTGATGCTTTGATCCTACGTCAGGGGAAGTGTGCATGGGCAGGTTGGGTGGAGGGTGGGCTGCACCAACATAAGGCAGCCAACCCTATGGAAAGGAGGGTCTTTTCTAAGTCAGAAAACATTGACCATGCTCCTCAAGATAGCCTGGACGTAGCCCCTGGGCAGTGAGGTCTCATTGCAGATGTGGGCATTCAGAGCTTTATCTATGCTTGGGTCAAGGAGTTGGCTCATTAGTATCTCGTGCCACAGATGTAGTTTACACAGGGTAACTTTCAAACCTACACAATCAATGACCAGCGGGCTGGTGCTTTTCCAGTGAAAATACGTGGCATGATACGTGCAACTAATAAAGCTTTTCCAATGAGGGGAAAAAAACCCACATTTGGTTATCCCTGGTCTATTCCATTTTCAGTGTGCTTCACTCCAGAGATATCAGAATAATGCTGGGAGGGCACAGATGTACAGCTGCGACAATGAAGTGCTAAAACCAGCCAAGGATTTAGAAGCTATTAGTTACAAGTAAAACAAATGAGTGCATTTCACGACCTGCTAATTTGTGAGTGAAGAGAGAAACGCAAAACAAATCCAACTCTTGTTTGCAGCAAATTGTTTACTTTATTCTAATAATAAATGTGACTAGAAAGTAATGCCAATGCTCTGCCAAGGCAAAACAAAAAAAAGCATCTGAATGTGAGTGTAATTCTTCTCCTGTTTAAATGAATGAAACAGAAAGAACTACAGAAGTCTCGTGTTTCATCCTTTAATCTCTTTGTACATAATCTGTTGATGCAGTGGAGGATGGACTAGATTGCTGTAATGTGGTTCATCATCAATTATTTTCAATTGGAGCCATTTTGTCATCCTTAATAGATGGGTTGCTTTTTTTTTTTTTTTTTTTGGAATGAGTTTCTCTGACAATTCTTGTTATCGATTAAGGGAACTGGAAACAAGTTTTTAGTTATGTTGATTTAATTTAACTTTGTTTTAACTGTTTCCAGCGTGCAGGGAAGCAAATAATGGACTAGTGTTAAGATTTTTGTGAACAAGAGAAGAGAGTTGGGTACAACAGAATTCCCTTCTTTCCTACTCAACGTGTTCTGCACCACAGCATGGGTCTGCACAGTCACAGGATGTTCCATGCTTTGGGGACGTGGAGTCAGGCAAAGTTTCTACTCCATCTTTCTTCAGTGACCAGGATGAGTTTTCAAGTATTTAACATTTCAGATATTTGCATTTCGGACGTGGTCCCTGGTGGGAAAAGCAGAGCCATCCTAAGCACGGGGGAAATGTGGAGTTGGAAGCATATCCAGACTTAGTAACTTAAGCTTTCCTCTCCAATGGGCTGAACTGAGATCTCTGATCTGGGGAGTCCCAGAAGGCTTCAACTGGAGCCCGTGTGTCCGGTACAAGGCATGTTGAGATAGATGGAGGCCAACTGGAGAAGGTCCAAAGGAGAGCAGTAGAATGGTCAGAGGTCCAGAAAACATAACCTCCAAGGAAGGATTGAAGGAGTTGGGATTGTTTAGTCTAGAGGAGAGAGGACTGCAGAGATTTGCTGGGAGATTTTAAGTATGTAAAAGGGTACCACGAAGAGAAGAATTTGCTCCCTGAGTCCTCTGCAGGAAAAAAGACATGTTTCTATCTAAATTAGGAGAAAGACCACAAAAACAGGCATGTTTCTAAGTCAAGAGAAAGACGTTTGGGTTGGACAAGAGGAGAGGCTCCTGATGTCAGGCAAATGTATTTTGGTAGAATGGATTATGACTTCTGGAAGCTCACTTGCAGGTAGATCTGTGTGTGTATAAAAGGGAAGAAAGCATGAGATGAGAAAATTACCTCCCTGTTCGGTGCAGAGTCTTCTCCGCATGTGTTGTTAACAATGTTCTCAGTTTGAGTTAGGTATGTTGCTGATACTTCTGAATCTAATACTTAGAATATTCCCTCACTCAGCATTGTTTAAGCCACGTCTAAATACTGTGTCCAGTTTTAGGGCTCTTCTCACACATAAAAGTACATGAAAAATAGAGCAAGTTCAGCAGACTCCATTGAGATGTTTGGAGGCTGGAGTATTTGCTGCTTAGGGTGGCTGAAGTTTATTCATCCTTGGAGGTTTTCAAGATCAGAATGAATAAAGCACTGTGCAATCTGGTCAGATCTCCCAGGGAGCCTGGCTCTGAGCAAAGTAATGGACTGTGGAGACCTTTCCACAATTATCTGATTCCAAAATTCAAAAATTAAGTGGCTGTATTTGTCAAAAAAACCTGTGCTACTACTGAACCCAGAAGTGCTTTCCAAGCATCTACTGCCAGGTGTCAACAAAAGCATTGTGGTGCCTCTATGTGTTCTTAGATGTCTCTGTACAACCAGTGCTCTTCACTTTGTGCTCTCAAACTTTTCTTTGCCAGCAGGAAGAGGAATAGACATGAGCTCCAGTTTGGATTGCTCTCATCAGCGATGATCATACAGAGATTCTAAGCAGCCGTAGACTTGTTTGGGGCTGGAAGTTGCATCAGGGCAGCAAGGATGGAAGTTTTTGGATTTGGACACAGTGCTGCCATAGAGTGGCTACCTGGTTATTGGATTCTAGTTATTCACTTTCTCAGAGTACTCCACGCTTCATGTTGAGGGCTGTACTCTTACATCCTGAGTTGTATAACCCATTACATCCTTATTGTTTAAGCCTTTGCAGCAGTTGAGACTATTTCAGAGTCATAAGCAGCTATTAAGAACGTTGCTGTTGTTTCTCACCATAGAATAAGAGAGTGACAGAATGGCTTGGGTTGGAAGGAAGTTTGAAGATCGTCTAGTTCCAGCCCCTTTTTGCAAACACAGAAAGGCCTTGCCATAAATTTTAAGTCATGAATTATCTGGTGTTCAGCTCATGCTGAACATCACAGATGCCAGAGCTTCCCTGATATTACCGAATCATAGAATTCTTAGGGTTGGAAGGGATCTTTAAAGGTCATCCAGTCCAACTCCCTTGCAGTGAACAAGGGCATCCACAGTTAGATCAGGTTGCCCATGGCCTGATCCAGCCTCGCCTTGAACAACTCCAGGAATGGGGGCATCCACCACATCTCAGGGCAACCTGTAGGGTGCTAATTCCATAACTGGAAGGGGTATGTGTGTGTACAAACTCAGCACACAGATGACCTTTTAGTGTGAACTCTTACTAGCGTTCTCCAGACAAGATTCCCATCCTTCTGTCTCAACTTCCCCTCATTTTCGAGTGTTTGAGAGAGAAAGATCGGCATCTTTGCTTGCATTATGACTGCTCCCAGCCATGAAGAATAAACCCAAGGCTTATTCCATTCCTGTATTTTGTTAGATTTGGGCAAGGGGCCTGCTTGTGCTCTGTGAGTACCTTCCCATGGTACATGCGTGCTCAGCATCACACAATGTGCTTCTTGCAGGGAACACCCTGCCCGGATCCAGTCCATCTCTGGTCAAGGGAGGATTATTCCCAGCAGACCATGCTTCAGTCCATTTTTAAATATCTTAAAGAGCAGGGTTTCCACCACAGCCCCTGGGGAGGATGTTCTACAGTCCAGTAGGTTAGATCTCACTGTTAAGAATGTTTCCCCTGATATTCAGTGTTCATTTTCCATTCCTTAATCCCGTTTTGTGATTCCTGGTTATTCCCCTGTTGGGCTAACCTAAACAATTCCTCCCCCTCTTCGACATTTATTCCTGTCAGCTAGTCAGCAGACAGTTGTCCTCCTTTGCTGTCCTTGAGCCAAACTATACATATTTAGCTCCTTCTGTTTTTTTCCTCATAAGTCAATCCTTCCAGCCACTAAATCACCCATTTTGTCCTTCTTTGAATTCTCTCCAGCTCCAAGCATTCCAGTGCTCCTGAGGTGCCCAGAAATTAATCGAGTCCCCAGTGACCTCAGTCCAAGGAGGAGGTTAACAGAGGGAAAAGACAAAAGAGTGCCCCAGATGACAGAGAAAACCCTGTTTATGAGACAGTCCCTCCAGCCATCTTCTTCAGTGTGGAGTTGCAAGTGGGGTGCTACTCCTGAGACTTGTCCAGCAAAAAACTGCTGGTTTCTTTCAGTTATTCTGTAGAATGAAGGTGCTGAGAACAGGTTCAAAATGAAGTCTTGCTGCATCATTTTTTTTCATCTCGTTGTGATCTACTGTGGTGGTGTTGGAAGGACACAAAGAAGAGTTAGCTATCACAGAGTGTCACAGCCTATCCATCCCCAGGGCCACGTCATGAAAGAGCAGCCCAGATTACCCCACCTGCTGTACTGCTTTTAGCCCTGGGTCCCCAGCATGAGGACCTGGAGCTGTTGGTGTGGGTCCAGGGGATGCTACAAGGATGCTCAAAGGCTGGGGTATCTCTGCTAAGGAGGCAGGCTGAGAGCTGGGGATATTCAGCCTGGAGAACAGAAGGCTCAAGGGAGACTTTGCAGTGGCCTTCCAGTGCCAAAAGGGGTCTACAAAAAGCTGGAGGGGGACTCTTTGCTGGAGGATGTAGTGGTAGGACAAGGGATAATGGTTTAAACTAAAAAAGAGTAGGTTGAGATTAGATATTAGGAAGAAATTCTTCACAATGAGGGAGGTGAGGCCCTGGTACTGTGTATGTGCCTGGTGATGTGTGTGCCCCATCCCTGGAGGTGCTCAAAGGCCATGGATAGCCCTCCCAGCATAGAGGTAATGTCTCGTGGTTGGAGCCCAGGGTGCCATTGGGTTACAAGGAGATGCCACAGTGATACAGCTATTGCCTTTGTCTGTGGAATAAAACAAAGTCCCAGACTGCTTATTCACATCCAAGGTCCTCTGCCATCACTGATATTCATTACAGCACTGGCGCCTGTTGTTTGCAGAAGATCATTGTCTGCCATCGCAGACAAGAGAGTGCCCCAGATGACAGAAGATTTAATGATGTTCTGAGAAAAAATGACTGCGCCATCAAAATAGACAAGGATGGAGGAGGAAGGATATTTTTTATTTCCATTTTAATGATAAGGAACAGAAAGGTGAAGCTAGAGGGGAAAATGTGCTTAGCCACTCTGCTGGGCCAGGTTTTCTCAGGGATGCATTCCCAGCTGAAGCATTCTCCTAATCCCACAGGTCCTAGGATGCTTCAATTCTTGTCCAGAGAGCTTGGTTTCCAGGCTAAGCTCGAAGCTAAATTGCCTGATGATTTTAATGGAAGACCATCCTTCCTTCACACCACTGTGAATGGACAGAGGCTTGAAGCATTGGCTGTCCCTGGTGCAGCTAGAGGGATGAATTGCATTCAGCTGGAGCAATCCAGCCTATTTCATACAGATACCATGTATAGAATGGCTGTAAATCATGGTGAGGTTACTATGCTTTGTACCAAAGCTGCAGATTACTATAGGTCAAACCATCAGAAAATTCCTCTTCAGATTTAGAACACAACCACTAATTTTGCTCTTCCAGCCTATTTTAAAAATGGGAAAACAACAGCCTCTTTTAAAAATAGGAAAACAAGCACTTTACTAAAAACAGTGGTTTTTTTTTTTTTCTTCTCTTTTTTTTCCCTTTTTCTTTTCCTATTTTAATTTGCAGGCTGCCTAAGCCCTGACTCAGCAAGGCACTTCTCCTTTGTGCACATCTTATGCCTCATGTATAAGGGCACATCCCACCTCTATTTTGATTCCCTGATGCCTTCAAAGTGTTGGCTCCTGAGTACAGAGCAGCTGGTGGAAACGGCCCCCAAGGAAAGCTGAGCAAGCAGAGTTATAAAAAAGAGAACTGAGATCAGAATCTGCCAGATGGTGGGGAAACACCTGAAATTCTCTTTCTGTAGAGGAGATAGATGCGAAGTAGGTTAGATGGCTAACTTAAAGGCTAGGTGGCTCTGGGCAGCTTGGTTTGGTGGTTGCTAACCCTGCGCATAGAAGGGGGGTTGAAACTAGATGATCATTGTGGTCCTTTTCAACCCGGGCCATTCTATGATTCTAAGTAGAGGGTGGTGTGATGACATCAGTAGATGATGTCAGAAAGACATGAAAGAGCAGAGAGGACAAATCTTGGTGTACATCTGGGTGGCAGACTCAATTTCATGTGCTGTATCCAAGGCCGTGCCATCCTTCCCCTCTTCACCAAAGTGCATCAGAAGTATTTGAGCCCCTGTGGATTTCCATGCTGACCTTGAAAGAGAAAGACTCCTTGCTAAATGTGAAGAAGTATCTTTATTTCTTCAGCTCACCCTAGGAAATGTTGCCTCTCTTGCAGAGACCATACCTATTTGTTACTTGTAGTTGAGGCTATTGCATCCTCTTGTGTCTGAAATTGAATGTGACAATAAGGTGCTTGCCTAGGTCTGGTCCTTCTTTGGGATGGACAAGAGCAATCTCTGTGCCATAGAGATTGCATAACTTTTGCCTTTGTTCTAATCTTGTCCATGGATTTGTGGATGGACTCTTGGCTAGATGTTCAGGAAGGCCCTGCCCATCCTTTCTGGATCAACATTCAAGCAATGCGTTTGTCTGTGGGCTCTGGGTGAGAATGTGATACACCCCATGGACAACAGAAACATGGAATGGATTGGAAGGGATCTTAAAGATGAACATATGGAAGAATTTCCCATGAAGGTATGGGAAGTATCTTCAAAACTAGTTGTGTTCATGAAACATTCAGATGTGATACTAAGGGACATGGTTTCCCAAATGCTAGTGGTGGATAGATGGTTGGACCTGGATGATCTTGGAGGTCTTTTCCAATCCTGGTGATTCAGTGCTTCTATGAAAAGCCAACATCTTGCATACTTCCTAGTCTTGTTATTAATTCTCCTGCCACTCTTGGCTTTTATGGCAAGTCTAATTATATGTGAGCTGCTTTCTACATGCTTCAGATTGTTTCTAAGATTCCAGATGCCCCTTAATTCCTTTCTCAGACAGGCAGTGTCCAGGACACTTTCTGCTGTGAATGGCAGAGGGATACTCAAGCCTTCCTCTGTGCTTTACACCTTGTCAAAATGCACAAAAAACCCCACCATACAGTGTCACAGGATACCTTCTAAGGGTCAAGGGTTGCTCCTGGGTTTGTATCATGGCATTCAGGCTACTGTGGTCACCTTGAGGAAGAAATAAGTATCAAAAAGGCTGGATGTGGATCCGGGCAGCCTGGTCTGGTGATTGGTGACCCTGCACATAACAGGGGGGTTGGAACTAGAAGATCCTTGTGGTCCTTTTCAACCCAGGCCGTTCTATGATCCTATGAAATAGTAAGATAGCTCCTGCTACATGTGGGCCACTGACATTTAAAGCTAATTTACTGCTTTTATACTGTTTAATCTCTCCCCCTCCTTTCTCCTATGTTAAATGGAACGTAAAAATAGTGTTTCGAGCTAAAAGCATGGGAAAGTCCAAAACCCTCTCTGCATTCCCACTAAAACACAAGCAGTTCCCACAAATTGGAGATTTCCCTCCCTTCCCCCCCAGCTTTTCATGTTTTTTTCCTTCTCTTCTGGATAGGAATTGTTCGATTCAGGGCGACCATAAAGGATTTGGGGTTGGAAAGGAAGGGAGCGGGAAAGGGAGGGAAGGAGGGGAAAGCAAATGGAAAAAAATACACCACAGTAGTAGCCACAGAATTCTCTGCTCCATCTTCTCCTTTGAACTGGATACGCCACCCCCCTTCCTTAATAAGGAACAAATTTTCAGTGCTCTATGGGAAAGTTTGAATGCAACATATTTCTGACAGGTCACTGTCAGTTCACACTGAGGAGGTTTCTTTTTTTATTTCTCTCACCATCACTCTCTTTCTCTTCCTTCTTTTCCTCTCTCTGTCCTTCTATCTTCCTTTCTCTTTTCTCCTTTTCCTTTCTCTTTACTTATTTTCTTTTCCATATTTTTCCTTTCTATTTCCATTC